TCAGGACTAACTAAGATTCAAGTAAATTGAAATTAACATAAAGAAGGAGAGGAAAGAATGCTGTAGCTTAGGATTGCTTTTTGCATCTTAGAGATTACATTTGATCTTGATTTGTTCTTCCCCTAAAGGAAGAGGAAAAAACACTCAATTTTTTAATGGGACTCCTGCAGTTCCTTTTTGATTACATGGGAGATTGAGTGATAAATTATAAGCAAATGAAAATGCAGTTAAATGATCCTGAGTACTGCAATTAATTAAAATGCATTTTGTCGCCCATGATCACTAAAAGAGAAGTTGGGGCCAGAAAGATAACAGTTAAAAAGGGTAAAAGATAAGGGGATTTTAGTTTCTTTTTTTTCCTGTTTTTTTTTTTTTCATGAACAGATGTTGAGTTCACTCTGAAAAGAACAGGAAGCAGCCCCTGCTGCAGCCCCTTCAGCATTTTCCTGATAAACCTTCTCCTCGCCCCAACAAAATTCAGCATCCATTTGTCTCAGTTGTCAGTCTGGACTCTGGCAGTATTCCAGGCAGTCTTTTCGATCATCATATAAATTTGCTAAAAATGAGCTGTTATGAAAACTCCTTATGCCCTGTGTGACATAAAGAGACAATGGCAAATAGTTCTTTCACTGTTCTGAATACCAAAGCAGCTCCTCGTAATTATTTCTCTTTCTTCAGTTTTAAGGTCAACAATGCAAGAAAAAGCACAGAAATTCCACTGGGACAACAGACACAGAGCAAAGAAAAATTAATAAATTAACACAGAAACTATGAGTATAATGCTCCGTTTTTCAGATTGACTTGGCATTACAGGAAAGTAATATTCTTTCTTACACAGCACTATAAACTCTTACACAAAGTTCTGCTCTTTTTCATGTAGGAAACAATCCCTAACAAATGATTATCTGCATTAGAAAATTCCAATGGTTGCAAATATGCATCAATTCCCCCTGAAAGCTTTAAGACTCATGTTGCACATTTACTACATCACTTTTCAGTCAGGTCAGTCAAGTGTACATAGGACAATACAAACTCATGGCTCTACACTATCATCAAGCATTTGGCAAGCCTCAACATACGGGGTTTCTTTCCCCAAAATTCATTAGCAATTCTCATTTTAACTTCCTCTATCTTTCTTAGGATAAATTACGTACTTAAAATGTATCACAACAGATTCAATTGTATTCAGTTATGAAACAGTGCAGTATTCCTATTTTTAGATCAGAAGATACCAGAAAAAAACTCCACCAAATGTGACCTTTGCAACACACCTTATCAAACCCATCCTAGAGAGTATTTACCTATAAAGCAGTAAAAATTAAGAGGAATATTACAAAGAAAATAACCTCTAGCAACCTATATGATGTTCAGAATCATACAAGACACTAACATGCTGCAACAGTCTGATTTATCTAAGCAGCATTCTTTTTAACAGTCCTAATATTTTCAAACTAGAAACAACACTTGTCATAGAGAAAGAGTCATAAGTCATAGAAGAAGAAGAAGGGGAAATCTCTATGCTAAATTCTCCACAAAATGTTTTAATAGAAGGATAATAATTTCCAAGTAGAGTTGTTTTTTGCATTTCTTAGTCTACTAAAAACTTCGCAGAAGAAAACCAGGCCACTGTAAAATTCAGGGGGTTTTATTATTACATGATAGTTGAAAAGCAACTACAGCATTGGGCCCTTATAAAGATCCACTCTGTCTATCCTTTCAGTTAGTATTTCAATGTCATTTAGGTAAAAAAGAATAAAATCAATTATTTGTAAGAGTGCCTTAAAGGTTATTGCAAATTTATCCATTATGCAACCATAGAAATTTATAAACCATCCGCTTAGCTAAATTCCCTTTTCATAGATGCTAGCTAGATAAAATTAAGCCTGCAAATCGGGTTCGTGTATAGATCTCAAATTACAAACACATAAAACATTAATAACAAAAATAGTAACAGTTTATTGATTTTTTTTTTCGATAGCTATCTTGGTAATTTTGGGAAGGTGAGGGGAGGAAAGGCAGGAAAATTTGTTTAGAATTTAAAAAAAAATTATCTCCTAGTAACTTGCAAATTCCTGAATGGTGGTTTTAGGTCACATTTCTTGCATACATGTAACTTTCCATATATACATGAAGGAAATTGCTGCTACATACAATTTAGCTTATGTTAGTATACGACAAAGAACATTTTACTTAATTTATTTCTTCAACAATTAAAAGAATAGCTTATAGAAAGCAATACTAAATCTGAATTCTACAATAAATAAACAGTGCACACATTCTGCTTACAAGATGTTCCTTCCCATTTGCAGAGGAACCTGCAGAAAGAGAAGAGACCTGGCCCTCTAAAAACCCAGCCAATGGCAGGGAGATCAGACACATTTTTCTGTCTGTGCATCCCTTAAAGTGAGATCTATATAACACACACATACAGTACATTAAGACCTTTCCCTAATTTCTTGATAGGTAGATTGTGAAAAGGACCAAGTCTCTCCTTCTGTACTGGACTAATCTATGATGGATTGACACTGGGAGGACATGTACAGTTGGTTCAGTATGGCAAATAGCCAGTGAACAGTAAGTAAAGGATGTTTTTTTCTTACAAGTATGTACTTAGTTGTGTTCAAGGCCAGGTAAGGTGGGGCTCTGAGCAACCTGTTGTAGCAGGAGGTGTTCCCTGCCCATGACAGGGGGGGTTGGAACTGGATGATCTTCAAGGCCCCTTCCAACCCAAACCATTCTATGATTCCGTGATTTGATATATCCATGATATGCTACATTGTTTATTATTTCAGTTAATCCTTCCTACATCACCCATCTTGCTATTTCTTTAGCACTATAAAGTGATTAAGTTCTTACTACAAGACATGTCACTTATGTTAACACCCCCTAAGAAAAGAGTTAACTGCAAAGAATAATTGTCTTTGACAACTTTGTTTCTCTGCTACTTGCTGGCAACATTTGGGCTATTTTTGCACGTAACAAAGAATGGACACATAATTAAAGATACATCTGCAACCCTTCTTCACTGTTTTCATTGATGCCTTTACCCATATGCACGGTTTTTAATCCCATTTGCACCTGCAACAAAGATATGTCTGCACAGCCAGTTCATAACAGAATCACTAACAGAGTAGCACCTCTCTATATATAAAGTGCTACGTTTCAATATACATTTCTAAGACCTGAATAAATTAAGACTGATTTTAAATCAGAATTTGCAATGCAAAGCAGAATTAGCTGCTATGGAACCACACCACAGGAGTCTCAAAAGACACAGTAGGTGTATTTGGGATACAAAAATGGCAGGAAATTTGGAAACAGTCAGAAGTCAGAAAACACAGGAAAAATCCATTGTTTTATGGAGATGCTTCTAATTTTATCTTCAGGGAAAAAACTGTCAGACATTTATAAATTACATGTGTTCTCAGCCATACATTCACAGAACACAATTTTAAGTTAAAACTTGACATTTTCAATTATTGAACAGAATGTCAGAGTTAAACTGCTTAAGCACGTTCAAGCATAAACACTTTTAAAACAAAACAATGAAGATACTGAGAAAGTTAGTGTCAAGTGGAAGACAAATTTACCACTATCCTGTTCCTCAAAGGGCAGCATTAAATACCAAGTCAGAGCACTATTAACTATCATTTTTTGTAATCTCATCCAAACTTGTCACTAGAAAAAGAGAAAAACAGTAACATCAGAATCTGCTTCTCTACTCATCTAAGTGATTTGACATTTCTCTGGCATCCTTATGTTTTCTGCTGATATGGTCAGTCTTTTGGTGTGCCAACATGTAAGAGCATGTGGGAAAGTGTGACAGCTTGAAGGCAGACACTTGTTTATCAGGGCTTGCAGGCAGAGCAGCCAGCCCAAGGGGTTTACAGACCATTGAATCAGGGCAACAATTCTCTTTGCAAGAGGCTTCTTTCTGAAGCAAATTCAATCCCAAGAATGTTTGGATAGACTTGAACTGCAAAATAGGCATAAGAATCAGAAGAAAGTTCTCACTCAATTCTTCCTCAATTGCGTTAGCCTGTTTCAACAACTTGTACAAGGCTCTGAAAAACCTGAACCAGAATGATGAAGGTGTCAAAAGATCAGGATTTACTTTTATCTTCAGAGATGTCTGGAGAAGCTGATTACTAAAGTACCCCTTAAAACTGAGGGCAATGCTTTCAGTTTCCATTTTAATAAAGTTAATTGTGCATACAAATATAACAATCTAGTATAATCTAATTTAATAAAGGCAGAAAACTCCACAAGGTCAAATATTTCATCTGTGCTCTCACTCTACAACCAGTATTCAAGAATTATAAGCAATCTAAGTCTTCCTGAATAAAATGGTTATTAAAGCAGCTTGCTGTATAATTTTGAAGATAAATTCAGTGATATAAAAACCAAATACAGTGTTGCATATTAAGCAGTACTAGAGACTACCAAACCAACACATTTTCCAGCAGCTGAGAAAATCAACAAAGAGGTAAAATTGCCCAAAAGCTGTTATCATCCCAGTAATTTGAAATTCACTTCAGCCATTGCTGAATAAAATGAACCCAATTCCAAAAATAAATCAAGAGCAACCCTAAAACCAAACAATACATTTTGGTGAAGAAAAAAAATGCATATTAATAGAGGTGACCCAAACAAGAATTATTACAACTGAGACATTACCCAGACATGAAGTTTCTTTAAATACTTATTAATATTCACTAACTAACTCTACTGTTAAAGGAAATAACATTTTATATCTCATTAGAAGAATAATGAAGCTTCTGTTGTCTTTAAAGGCTACAGTAAAATTCTCAACAGATATGTGGAGCTCAACCACTCCAAAGTAGAATCCAGCATTTCCAAAGGTTTGCCACACAGGTGACATTTGAGGTCAGTCATAAGAAGGCAGAATAAGACAAATAGAAAACAATACATTTCACATTATGGAAACAATGAAACCTATGGAAATATGCTGAAAAAAAAAAAGGGAAAAAAACAATTACCTGGAACAAGTTCCATAACAATATATATAGGCTGTCGTTGAGTGCAGACTCCTATAAGTTTTACAATATTAGGATGATCATATTGTTTAAGTATTCTGCAAAACACACAGGAAGTTTATTATATTAATAAACTTGACTGTACAGGCTGATTAAATATTACAGGAAAATATCTAAAACCTTTAATGTTACTTTAATGGAAGATGTCATTATTGTTATCAAAGAAAAAAATATCATTACTGTTATCAAAATCAATGTAACAAATCAATCACCACTCTGTTTGAAATGAAAATAATAACGGATTCATTAATATATCAGAAAATATTATTATAATTTTACCATTTGTCTATGTGACACTTATCTATAAACTGAAAAATTGCCTGATAGAACCCTTATAGAACCTACAGATATATAGGTATAGATATAGATACAACCTATATAATCAGAATTTCAGAGGTGGACCAGAAGTAGAGCTACATCAAAACAGTATGCACAGCTTGCCTGTATGCTTCCCCGCTGTACTGCTCAAAAGCACACTTGTTCCAATTTTACTTTGAGAGATTAATTAATACAGTAAGTTTTAGAAGACTATAAGGACATCACTTTTGAGAACTAAATGAAAAAATTACATCTTTTGACACAATTATTTAGTAAGAACACTTCCAGCCTAAAACAGCATGCTATGATTTGTAAGTGAAAAGAAGAGCAAGAAAAAACTCTACAAAGACCTTGTAACTTAAATGTTCCTTCTGATATTTGCTGACCCAAAGCACCTCCTCTTTTTCCCTTTTTCCCAAGGATCAAGAGTAAAATATTAACCTACACACACATTTAGCGAAAAATAACACATTCCATTTCTTCAGACCATTTTTTCTTATTAGTGTCAAGCTGCTTAACAAATGACATATCTCTGCTGTTGCCAAGTTACAAGTTTTTTTAATTATTCAATAGATAGGGTAGCTGATCCTCATTCTATAAACACAGATAGTATCTTTTTTTTTCCAATACTGATCATACTGGCTTGGGAGTGGAAGCTAAAACATATGAAGCCTCATAGCAAAAAGGGGCAATGTGGAAGCCCAGGGCACTGGGAATATTTCTCTGTCTGCTCTGGGGTGCCCTGACCCCCAGAGGAGCACTGACTTTGACCCTCATTCATGGAGAAGTTTACTAGACTTCAAGATAGATTAGAATCCACAAAAGTGTGACATAGATTATAGAGAGCAGTGTAGGTGTATCACTTGGTGAGAAATTTAGTTGGGATTTTTAGTATATTGTGGATGGAAGCAAGGTGAAGGGCGCAGGGTTTCTTCTTCATGCTTCTTTCTTCCTCTTCATGGGTTTGGGTGGCATTTTGTAATTGGGCAGAAAAGTCCACTTTGGGATCAGTTATTGGGTTAAAAGGGAAAATCATCTAGGTGTTTGTTCTTAATTGGATAGTTTAGTCTTAATATACTTTGTAACAAGAGATTATTAGACATCTTGTGCATTGTAATGAAAAGCTGCTGAACTCAAAGTAGTGAGATTGTTCTTCTGATGAGAAATAATAAACACCTGAGTCCAAACATGAATTACTGTCTCAAGTGCTCTCAATCCAGACCCAGAGAAACCAACAACTGGGACCCCAGCAGAGCAAAGTAGTTAAAAATTATTACATTTATCTCAAGACAGCCCTCTCCCTGGAGTCTCAGAATCTACCTATGCACATCAGCTGACACTCAGAATGCTTTGCACATTGTGTCATGTCTATAATTTGGAAAATAAGCATATAATCTCATGCTGATTGACACAGTATAAAATACCTCTATTGGAGCAAACTCTTCTTACAAAGAGAAAATTACTAAATGGGGTCTATACCCCACTAAGAAAAGTAATCTGGGCACATTTGATCACCCCTACTAGCCATGAATATAAGGCAGGAGTTAGGCCTGGTATAATCACACTTAAATTAATAACATCTTCTAGTCTTCTTATCCCAATCCTCATGGCACATCTTAGAATGAAAGCACAAAATTTTATTTTACAGGTGTGGCTTGCTGTGTTAATGAGATGGTTTCAGCAAGTGAAAATGCTACTGCATTCACGTGTTAAAAATGCCAATGCTTAGTTACCAGAGCGACAGTTGTGGATGTACTGAGAGAGAGAAAGGAAGGAAAAGTTTGACTTCTGCTTTTTTGAATTTTAAAGAAGGTCAGGTTTTGTAAATGCATCTGGTGATAAAAACTGAAAAAAAAAAACCTGCCACAAATAATTTTAGAGAACCTACCTGGCTTCAGACAGAAATTTTATTTTCAGTTCCTGAGGAAGATCTTCTTTGCAAGTTTTTACAGCAACAGGGGTTTTATCCTTTAATGTTCCTTTATACACCTCACCAAAATTACCCTGAAATCGGGAGAAAAAAGATCATTCCAGGTAAATAAAATCTTAATGAATTGCCAGAAAAAAATAATGCAGAGAGCTACTGAAAGTAGACCAGAACTCTAGGAAGTGTTTATGAAGTCTAATGAGAATTTCTTTCAGTATCTGCCCTAACCTAAGCCATTCACTCTGACATAGTACATCTACTATATGGACACAGCATATGAGCTCTGTTTCAACCTTGCTGGAAAGAGGAAAAAACCACCATTAATTAAGTAATTAGAATTTTCTCATAAAATCTCTTAGTAACTTTTCAAATCAACTGACATTGACTGTAGTACTTTGTTCTTCTTATTCTTACTCCTGCACTTTTTCATATTCACTCTATTGTATTTTGTAAATAGGTTTTAACTCCCAGTCTGGAAGAGACCAAAAACTGATCTCAAAAACTGTGACAAAACCCACCAAAATAACATAAACATTCTCATATACAAGAAAGAAAAAATACAAAATACAAAGAATGAAAACACTGAATATTAATTTTTATCATAAATTAAACCCACTGCAAAATGTATTGTTGGGTGTGGTGATTCAGAATTTCTTTAAAACCCAAGCTCAGCAGTGCTCTATAAAGACAAATCTGTAAGGCTCCCTTTGGACAAGACTTTAGAAAGCAGCTCCTTTTGTAATCAGATATTTTAGGAAGTGAACAACATACCCCCAAGGCACGTTAGGCTTTCTTTAGCTTTCATAGAAGAAAAATGAAGCAATAAATACCAGAAAATAATCCACCAAAATTCGAAGATGCATTTTTATTTAATAAAAAGGAAAATTAATCAGGACACAAATTGAAACAAGAAGGAAATTGTGAGGTATAAAACACTGGTATCAATGAAAAAAAAAACTCAAGAGAAGGAAACAAGAAGAAAACTACAGATCTCACACTTGTACTTAAGCTTTGTATTTCCCAAAGAAAAAACTTCCCAACTCAATTTTGAAACTACATCTGATTAATTTCTAGACATACTACACTTCTATGTCCTGGTGTCTGGGGCTGCATGTGACTTTAAAAAAGTCTGCTGGAGATTTTTTCCTTCCTTTGCTGAGTTATGAAGATTTAATTACATAATGCAGCTGAATTTAGTGTTGCCAAAGTAAGATGACAGAAAAGGAAAAAAAGAAACTCAGACGGAAAAGAGTAATGTGCTTCCAGTAATAAGGGAAGAAATGCAGAGCTGAACATGCCTGCAGAATTACTTCCTGTATGCTGGGACAAGGAAGATGTAGCTGGCAAGTGAGGCTTAGGATCTCTGACAGTCCTTCTAAAGCACTTCCAGAGGCTAGCACACTACCTCTCAGATCTGAAATGGCATGAGGAGCCCAAGGCAAGCAGGTGAGCTGCTCCCAGGTCACTTTTCCTCTACCATTCTAGTCAGAAGTATTTAACAGTGAAATCTAAACCCACCCTAATCTTTATTTAAGTCTTTATTGACAATAATCAACATTATTAGATGCATGATTTTTAGTATACCACATTCCCATTATGCACCTTTCATTTTGTGGGGTATTATGGAATTAATGCTGAGTAAATAAAATGACCACTCACCCCTGAAGTGAAGGAAAATCTTAATCTTTTTTAAACCTTGCATCTTTTACACATTAAAATTTTGTGATTTCTTCCTCATCTTTTCCAGGCTACTCAAGGTTTTGTAGACTCTCAGATTTCTCACTTCTGTGGTGAATGGCTATAGCTTATTTCACATTTTGTCACACAGATGCGGATGTTCCTGTCATTCTTATCTTTTTTAGTATGACCACATCTTCTTAGAGGTGAATGCATAAGAATCATGCTGTGTTCCAATAAAGTTTTTATCCTGTTCTGTATTTTTTAAAGAACATCTTCTATAATTCCTTTAAAATTCTGAGTTTCCTTTACTGAATGTTAAAAATGTTTTGTGCTAAAAACATGGAATGCACATGTAAATTGAATTTACTAAAAATGCTTTTCAAATTGCTTCAACTGTCTTTACACTAAATCGAAACTAATTCATATTTCTTTTTAACAAGTCAAAGCTTTTTCTGTGGCTGGAACATCTTTATTTTTCTCCATTGATAATATCCTGTTTAAGAATGTGAAGATCCTGCAGTACCTGTATTTTATGAAGGCACAACTCAATCTGGTCATACTTTTTGTCAACTTAATCTGCCAAAGAGCTTTTTTTCCTGGGAAACAGAAGTTTATGGCAGTATTTTATTTTCCCAATCTTGAATTCCTTACTAATTTTTTTAGTGTGTACCATAGTAACAATGCAATTAACTGCTTTGATTCGTCTCTTCCTCATTAAATCTTATTTTCTCAGCTTTTGGAAAATCTTTTCAAACTACTCTGTGTCCAGAGTAACACCCAAAATGGTCTTTGCAGGTGCAAAGGTGCCAAAAAGTGAGAAGTTTGCATGATTTTAAAGACCTGTAGTTTCTAAACAGACTTTGTAAACTACATGTTTATGAACTATACAAGATTTAATAAGACTGTGAAATTATCTAATTCCATCAATGAATGAGTGAAAATAATCGTGCACAACAATTAGTATTTGTTTTAATAAATAATCATTTAGTCATATCATATCAAATTTTATACACAAAAGCATAAACATACACCTGTTTCTCTACATGTTTTATTTATATTTTGTAACATTTTTCTCCAACTACAGAAAGTAAAACAGCCACATCATGCTTTATTGAAATCAAGTTAGCTCAAAACACTTCCAAAAGAGAAAAAATATGTATGCTAGTTAAATACTTTCAGCACAACCATTATAATGTTTACTAGCAAGTGTGATTTACACATGTTTAAAGCATAAGGCTGTCTTGTGTATTAGTGTAAAAAATGACGTAAAAATTATATACCAGAGCAATTTAAAAGAAAAGGTAAAGAGAAATAGCTTAATGATTACAGTATACTTACTCAAATGTTATTTACCTCACTTTATTACTTACTTTGCCCAGTAATTCCCCCAGTGTGACATCTTCATGATTGAGAACCCACTTCTTATCCTATGAAATGGAAAGCAGAATTTTCAGTCTGTGCAAATATGCAAGATACAGTTTCTCTAAGATACATTTCAGTAGAAATGGAGCTGAAGAAGTATTACATTTAGAACACTCAATCACAAGCATACCAAGAAATTTTAAAGCTAAGCATTTATAATTCAAGAGTTTAGAAATTTTGCTACACAACAAAATAGTGAGTGATACCATATAGCAAGTTTTTATTAGAAATTAAGCCTACAACATTATGGTATGTAGATAGATAAGCACTATGTAAAGTTTCACACAAACTCTGGAAATTATATTCTATTTATCTGATTTTAACAATTTGTCAATTGAAAATTAGATAAGAAAACTTCATTTTAGCATACAAAGTAACTTCCTACTAAATTAATAAAACTCCCACATTTTTCTCCTCAGTGCACATGGAAATGAATTGATCTTTTGACTTGTCAACAAGACACATATTTGCATCTCTTACATCTTTTCTGGAAGTTGGAAATATTACAGGCAACTACTTGAAAAGATAATACATGCCAGGTAATGCATTTGTCCAGGCAAATGCATTTGACCATCCCCCTGTGCTGGGCAGGCAAAATACCCCTACCACACAAAATGAACAATACCAGATGACAACCCTCTTTCACCAATCTGAAAAGGATGACAAATTCAGAAAGTCTTTTTTGGGAGTGGTTGCTTTACTGTCCGTCTCTCTGGCGCTAGGGATGGCTGCTGCAGGCCCAAAAGATGCAAAGTCTCGGTGTTTCCCAGGTCCCAGTCTGGAGCAGGTTTGAATGGTTCCAAAAAAAGGGAAAGGAAAAACAGTCCAGGGAAATATTTGGACTGCTTAGCTAAACTAACTAATGAGCAGAAGCAAAAGGCAAAAGCAAAGCAGCAGCACAACAGAAGCAAGAGCGAAGCAAAAAGCTGCACTACATACTGCTCCGTCTCTGTGTTTCATCAACTGTGGGGGAGCAGACAGACAAAAAACTAAAACAAAACATTGGCTCTTCAGAGCCAGTCTTGAAGGCACAGATATTATGTTAAACAGAACACACATACAAGCATCATAACATCACTTTAGGACATTTTACTCTTTATCTTCATATCATCAACATACTACTAAGCATCATGCATTTTATTAATGTAAAACTTCTGTCTGTTCTCTCTAAAAAAATTACAAGCTATACTTATCATGCTCTCATCGCATTCTCACACCGGACTACTGAATCTAGGCTCTATATCACGGAGCTGCAGGATTTTCCACTTCCATTTTACTCACTTAAAACTCTATCTTTTACTTGCTCAGACTTTCAAGACTTACACATTTCTTTCTATCTTATGTCTGTATGATTTAATATGCAGACAATGGCAGTAACATCTAACAAACAGTGATATTTGAATATCATCTTCACTTTAAAATTAGATCTCTCTGAGGCGCACATTGCGTTGTTTTATCTCTTTGCATTTTATCTACCACGTGTAACCCAGTCCTTGAGCAAAGACAACTCTACAAATGGGTTTGTCTGTACTTGAAGCAGAATTAATTTACACGGTCTTTTCTAACAAACTTCTGACATATACTACCGGGACTTTATCTCTATCTATTGTATTCAGGGATTCCGAGTGGGCAGGACTTGCTTGGTTGGTGGAACTTTGGGTGTTCCACTAACCAGGTGGCTTTTGTTAAATGTTGCTCCTAATTTTTGAAAGATTCTTTACTTAAGGCTTTTCACTGTGTTTTTAGTAGTCTATTGTACTTCTTTGCCTGCAGCTGGTGCATGATAGAGGATATTCACTCAATGTTATGTTTTTTAGCCCAGGTGTTGATAAGGTTATTTTTGAAAACAGTTCTATTGTCTGACTCAATTTTTTCAGGAGCATTATGTTTCTAAAGGATTTGCTTTTAAAGGCTCAGGACTGTATTACGGGTTGTAGTATGAGACAGAGGGTAGGTTTTTAACTATCTTGTGGTGGCTTCTACCATTGTGAGCACGTAGCGCTTGCTTTAGTGTGTCTGGGGCAGTGTGAAGTAGTTAATTTGCCAGGCCTCCCCATACTTGTACTTGGACTACTGCTTACTATAGTATAGGGGCTTTACCTTTCTGGCTTGTTTGATGGCAGCACACATTTTATAGTTGTGGCTAACTTGCAAAGTACTGTTCATGGTTAAATCTACTCTTTGGTTTCATGCTTAGTTGTAGGTGGCATTTTTACTTTGATGGTTTGAGGTATTATGGGCTTACTGAGCTAGGAATAACTTTATTTTGTGTTTTTAATTTCGGTCTATCTTGGACACCTTTATTTTTGAAGCTTGGTCTACCTGCTCATTATTTTGGCACTCTTTATTAGCTCTGTTCTTGATGACATTGGCATTTATATGGTGGACTTTCACAGGTAGCCTCCCTACCCTGGCAGCGATGTCTTTTTATTTTTCAGCAGCTTAAATCAGTTTTCTTCTACGCTGCTAGTTAGCTTCTTTCTACTTCTCCAGCCATCCCCACAGAGCACTGGCTATTATCTATGTATCTGTGTAGACGATCTTTGGTTACTTCTCTTTTTGCAGTGTCTAGGATCAGTTGAACGGCTTTGAGTTTTGCATGTTGGCTTGATCTAATTTATTTTAGTGGCTTCTGTGATCTCTCATGTGGGACTTTATATGGCTGCTTTCTACTTCTGAATTATTCTTACAACGCAACAGGAACCGTCAGTAAAAAGAGCATAGCATGTTTTTTTTTGGTGGCAGTTGGTTATATAGAGGAGCTTCTTCAGCTTGTGTTACTGGCTCTTGTTCTTCATCTGTAACACCAAAATTTTTACTTTTGGGCTAATTTGTAATTACCTCTAAAATCTTAGGGCTATTTAGTTTACCTATACAGGTGTGTTGCGTGATAAGAGCAATTCACTTGCTCCATGTAACACTGGTGACATGGTGGGCAGAAGGAACTTTGCTTTTGAACATCTACACTACTACTGGTAGTCGGGGTGCCAGGAGGAGTTGTGTTTTTGTATTAATTACTTCTGAGACAGCTTGGACTCTTTTATAGGCAGCTAAGATTTTTTTCTTTCTTGGAGTGTAGTTAGCTACCCTCTGTAGCTTCGACTTTAAAATTTCAGTGACTGACTCTGAGTCTTAGGTATTTTTTGCCAAAGGCTCCAGGACAAACTATGGTTCCTAGCTGCAGAGTAGAGCATGTTCTTCACTTCTGGTTCTGTCTTGACTGGGCCAAGGGCTACTGCGTGAGTGATTTTTTGCTTAATCTGGGCAAAGTCTTGTTGCTGCTCAGGGCCCCAGTGGAAATCATCTTTTTTACGGGTGATTAGGTAGAGAGGGCTTACGATCTGACTGTATTCAGGAACGTGCGTTCTTCAAAAACTTATGGCATCGAGGAAAGCTTGTGTTTCTTTTTTATTGGTTGGTGGAGACATAGCTGTGATCTTATTGATGACATCTGTAAGAATCTGACGCCATCTACCTTGCTACTTTATTCTGAGGAACTGAATCTCATGAGCTGGTTCTTTTACTTTGCTCTTTTTGATGGCAAAACCAGCTCCTAGGAGGATTTGGATGATTTTCTTTCGTTTCTCAAACACTTTTGCAGCTGTGTTTTCTTACACAATGATGTCATCAATATACAGTAGATGTTCTGGAGCTCTACCTTTTTTTAGTGCAGTCTGGGTCAGTCCATGGCAGATGGTAGGACTGTGCTTCCATCCCTGGGGCAGCTGGTTCCAGGTGTACTGCACTCCCCTCCACGTGAAAGCAAACTGAGGTCTGCATTCTGCTGCCAGAAGAATGGAGAAAAATGCATTGGCAATATCAATAGTGGCATACCACTTTGCTGACTTGGGCTCAAGCTCATACTGGAGCTCTAACATGTCTGGCACGGCAGTGTTCAGTGGTGGAGTCACTTCATTCAATGCACGGTAGTCCACCGTCAATCTCCATCCTCCTTCAGATTTATGCACAGGCCAAATGGGGCTGTTGAAGGGTGAGTGGGTCTTGCTGACCACCCCTTGGCTCTCCAGCTCTCGGATCATCTTATGGATGGGAATCACAGCATCTCAAGTAGTTTTATATTGTCGATGATGCACTGTGGAAGTGGCAATTGGTATCTGCTGCTTTTCTTTCTTTAGAAGTCCTACTGTAGATGGATTCTTAGACAGTCCAGGCAAGGTGTTTAATTGCTGGACGCTTTCTGTCACTACAGCCACTATCTTGAATGCCCACCTGAGTCTTTTTGGGTCTTTGAAATACTCAGTTCAGAGATAATGTATGCTCAAAATACATGGGGCCTCTGGGCCAGTTATAATAGGGTGGTTTTTCTACTCATTTCTAGTCAGGCTCACATCAGCTTCTACTAAAGTTAAATTTTGTGATCTCCTTGTCACACCAGCAATAGAAACAGATTCTATCTCTACATGTATTGATGGAATTAATGTGCACTGCACACCAGTATTGACTAAAGCTTTATACTCTTGTGGTTCTGATGTGCCAGGCCAACAAATCTAGACTGTCCAGAAAACACGGTTTTCCTGTGCTTTTCTTTGGCTAGAGGCAGGACCCCTCTAAGCTTGGTATCTTTCTCTCTCTGCGCATATGTCTTGGAGGTTCTTTCAAGGGGTTTGGACATGTCATCATCATCATTAAGCCTGGCAGTTTGGCTATGGGTAACTGGAGCTGCTTTCTTTTTGGTGGAACTTCTTCTCTGAGCTCTGTCTTCTTTTAATTCACACACTCGTTGGGCCAGAGCAGCAGTGGATTTTTTATCCTATCTCTTATGTTTTTTCCACAATGATGCAGGAAGAACCACAGCTCAGTTCGTGGGGTGTACCTTCTCTCTTCATCTACGGGACGTCTGCACTGGGTACCAGAACTTCTGATCTGTACTGCTGAGATTTGGATAAGGTCTTTTCTAATATTTTTTCTGAGCTTCTTACGATTCTCCTCTATCTTGTCTTCTAATTTCTGCAGACGTTTCTACTGCTGCGATTCTGGCATGTGT